TTATTTATTTATTCATTTAATCATCTATTATGTCATTTTAAGGAATCTATCTACCTATCTGTTTATCTATCTATCTATCTATCTATTTATTTATTTATTTATTTATTCATTTATTTATTTATTTATTTATTTATTTATTTATTTATTTATTCATTTAATCATCTATTATGTCATTTTAAGGAATCTATCTACCTATCTATCTATCTATCTATCTATCTATTTATTTATTTATTTATTTAATCATCTATTATGTCATTTTAAGGAATCATTTAGTATCATTTAATCACAATTAAGTGATAAATAGATTAAATACATTGATATAGGATGAAGAAAAACAAAGCAGGATTAGATAGAAAAGTGGCGATTGTATAAGAATGTCATATCAAATTCATATTTTATTATTGGGAATTGCAATTTATTTATCGAATTTCTCCTCAATAGAAACATTAAGGAGAATTGAAAAAAAAAGAAAATTATATCAATTATATTACATTCATTTTTATTCTTTCAAATGACCCATTAATTTCTTTCTTTCTTTTTTTTGATAACAAAAAAAAAAAAGTTTCCAATTATAAACAATATTTTTCATTTTCCATCTTCTTTTTTTTTTCCTGCACTTATGAAAAGTTTATTATTGAATATTTTGCAGTGCACCGGGTGGTGATGATTTCCTGAATGTGCAGAGGATGCTACCGAATCCGGCATTCCTTCCAACCGGTTAGTTTTGTGATTAAATAAAATAAATGAATACGATAGTTTGGTTAAAAGCGTTTTGTTTTGAACTATAAAGAGGAATAAAGAAAGGGAAAATGATAATGATAATGATAATAATAATAATAACTTAAAATTATATAAAAATACTACCAATATACTAATTTGAACAAAAAAAAAAAGGGAAAATTAAAGAGAAAACAAATGTTGTAATGATAATGTTTAATCTGTTTTATTCTATTTCATTATTTATTGTTTCGAAAAAGTGGAAAAATTTTTTTTTTTGCGAGCAATAAATGAAATAAAATTTAACGTCTAACATTCATTGATAAATCTAATAGATCCGATTTAAGCCTCAATGTTATCATAATTAATCACTCCTGATCTTAGTGATAATTTTATAAAACAAAAAAGAAAAGGGATTAATTCATGCGGTTAAAAACTTTGAAATAAAAAAAACTTAAAATTTTTTTTTGAATAATTATTAAACATTAAAAAGATAGTAATGCTGAAGTTGAAAAACAAATTGAACTTTAATTATTCAAGATTATGTTCATTTCTTGATATGTACCATTTTAAATTTGATAACAGAAATAGAATTACAATAAGAATTCATCTTTTCTTCTTTTATTGGATAATTTTAATTGGAATTAATTTCAGTAATTTAAGTTATTCAATTGATTTTTTTAAATCTATTATCGATTAATGGATGAATTTATGAATTAGATATAGGAGGATCAGGGATCGGTGATTATTATCTAAGCAATCCATTGGAGGCAAATAATTTTGCGCATTCGCAATCAGGAACAACTTCACCGCATATGCAACCATTCATTAATACATCTTCCAATTACAATTCTGCATTGATATGTAAAGCAATCGATTCACCGTTATATGATACTACTGGTAAAATATCACTTCAATATAACAAATAGATTATCATAATTATCATAAATAACACTGATAATGATATCAGTCATTTATTTGCATATTTCATTTATTTACAGTTGTTCGACAAGTAATAGCAACCTAAATTAGATAGGCTAATTTAGTATAAATTAAATTATTTAAGCTTATAAGGAAATCAAATCCAGAAATTCTGTTAAATGTATTATATCAAATGAGCTTATTTTTTTACACTAAATATTATCCGTTATTAATTAACTGCATTAATTAACTGTCGTTAAAATTTTGAAATAGGAAAAAAAAAAGCAGATCTGAAGATGATTATGGTAATGAAGAAATTTTTATAGTTATTACGATTACAATTGTTACTCATTACTAATTAACTGTTATTTCAGGCTGATAGTGTCTAAATTTAGGTTATCATTTTCGGATTGAATATTGTCATATTACAGTTTACTGACTAAAATTATACACGACAAACAGATATTATAAAGGTCATTTAGGTTCAATGAGAATAATTACATCGGATGATTATTGCGGAAAACCGTTTGGAAGAGGACAGATCTTCGGGCGAATTGAGGTAAATTACCGTAATATTATTTAGACAGTCTTGGAGGAATGCTGTTTGCTATTTGGAAAATCTTCGAGGAGTAATTCTTGGAAGAGTCTTTTTTTTTTTCTGGGAGAGAATGGAATTAAAGAAATGAAAAAAAAAAAGAAAATGAAGAATTTGAGACTTTACGGCTGAGACGATTTCGTTTAGAATCAACATATCACATTCTGATTCACCATTTCACTACAAATGTAGAAATTATGAAAATGATAAATTTATACCGTATTTCAGATTTCGTTATATTACGGTGCTATAG